ACCTATTTAGCAGAATAGGTAAATTTTCTATACTATTTACAAATAATTGTTCCGAAAGTCCTTATACAAGACATATAACAAACAATTAAGAAAGGAGTTTCCTATATTGGTCATTAAACAAATGTCTAAAATATATGTATTGTTATTAAGATTACCAAGATGTTAACATATTATCCAAATCCTATATCTAGATCAGGAGATTAGTTAATGTAAGGATTGTGTTTGCATGATAGGTGCAAATAAAAAGGTTTACAGTTTTACCTTCACCTATTTCTAGATTTTTATAGGTCTGTTGCTAGACATATCCCATGAAATGCGGATAATCTTGTTTTAATAGAGATTAGTTCAATTAAATGTGTTTAATTGGCCGGAGTAATTAATTGTAATTAATTATTTATATATTAAATTATAATTTGTTGTGGGCCTAATGCTAACTAATTGGTGGACCTAAGCGATCAAATACAAGGGCAAATAAGTTCATATCATTTATGAAAATTTACTTGGATTAATTAATTTGATTAATTAATTAAAATTGATTAATTAAATAACTTGTCATTTAATTAATAGATAATGGAGAATAAAATAATTATATTAATTAAATATTTTAATTAATTAATTATTTAATCTTATAATATAAAATCTCTTAATTAGTTGGGATTATTGAAGATAATTAATTTGAATTATCTAGATAGATATTATTTAATTTTTTAAATTAAATAATATTGATATTATCTCATAATTTTATGATAAAATAAATATAAAATATTTCTCTATAAATAAGGGTTTAGGAAATGTTTATTAGTTTAAAAAACTTTCAAGAGAGTTGAGATGGGAAGATTTTCTACAATCTTTAGATGAAGAAATATTTTGATAAAAAAACCCCATTAGTTGAGAGATGTGTTATTAGATTACTAGCATAATTCTAAATACTAGTGAATGTTTCCCATGTAAATGTCGTTAGAGGAAGCATATTTGAGCTTCTCGTAAACCATTTTGGCGCTCATGTTAAGTTGCTAAAGTACAAATTTGAATTCGCACAATCCCTGCATAAGTTAAAAGCTTGTGAGGTATAAATCGATTTTTTTAGATTAAATTTATGTATATTGTATATTGAGGCATAGAATTAGAGTTTTAATGTGATTTGACCACGTATTTCAAGATTAAAAATTTTAAATTTTCACTATTTTTAGATTTCTTATTTTGATGTGAATCCAACACTCTTTTCCAAGCCGATCAAACCAAGCTCACCCAAAAAGTCAAAAGCTTGAACTTTTACATGCTATATGACTAGATAAAACTAGAGGATCTAGTCAAGATCATTGAATGATGGCTAAAAACTTGCAATAGAGTAATCCCAGCAAGAGGACTCGTTCAAATTCATTAGACAGGGTTCATACTAAACAGTCCCGGGAGCTAAGAGGGGTTAAGTTTAACACAAATGGTACTTCTAAAATAAATAGAAAAATGGCTAGTTGTGAGAGGCTTCTTAGGGACCACGATGATGATTATATTAGAGGCTTTAACAAAAATATTTATGAAGCCAGTGTCATGAATGGTGAAGTTTGGAAGTCTGGAAAGGTCTAAATATAGCGTGGACTCTGAGTTTTAAAAAAGTTAATTTGAAATTGGACCACAAGTTTCTGGTAGACTTGCTAAATAGTAAGCAAGCACGTGATTCTAGTTAGCTTCCCCTTTTGGTCAAAATCAAATCCATTATGAAGTAGAATTGGCAAGTAAATGTGAAGCATGTTGCTAGAAAAGCTAATAAGCATGTAGACTACTTGGCTAACATGAGTTTATCCCATGAGCTTGGTGTCAAAATTGGATATCCTCTCTCTCTAAATCAAATTAGGATCTTCTGTACCAGAATGCTTTGGAAATATTTACTCCCTAGAACTTCATAGTTTTGTTTTGTTTTTCTTTTAGGCTCTATCCCTAATGTTACCCCAAAAAAAATGGCAAAGGCTTCACTATTGTAATCAAACCAAAATACTTGTTGCTTTAGCTAAATTATCAAAAGAACTTGAAAAAGATCTTCACAAATGCGCATTCATTTTAGGCTTGCAGCCCCAATCAAAGTTAGGAAAATATTGATTCTCGCAATAATAGAAAAAGTACAGAAGTTAGAATATTATAATTTATAAAATATTAAATTAGAACATCATAAATTCAAAAGATACAACATCCTATCTTATGAATTTTAGGAACGTGAAAACTGAACCCATAAATTTAAAAATTCAAATGATCAAAAATGTAATTAAATTCTTGTAATGCATATCAGGTCACCATCCTTGATCAATAGTTTAAACTTCTTGTTGAGCAATTAGAGAATATAAATCACAATCACAAGGTTCAAATACCTCCTCCCCCACAACCAATAGAATCCTTGTCCTTCCCCTTCTTCAAACTCCAATTGATATTTTTACAAAGAAATCCCTAATCAGGGATAGATCAAGATCCGTGAGATCATTTTCTTATCACATCCAATGATTGATTGATTCGAGGCCACATCTACGCTTATTCCAAACACCCCAAGCGTTTCATTGCTTACTACAATCTTCCTCACTCTGTCTTGAAAATCTATAGCTCGGAACAATAAACTGTCAAGCATTCAAATCCCTCTCTCTCTCATTTTGCATTTTGAACAGAGCGACTAGTAAACAAAATCAAGTATTTAATACCAACAATTTGAACGTAACTCATGGTTTCCTTTAACAAATAATCATTTAATATAATAAATTTTAAGTGCATAGCAACTTTGCTCATACCAAGTACGAACTCATTTTTCCATAGTTATTTATAACTCGAAGCAAGAAGTTCTAATATCCGAAAAGTATTTGTTTATGCAAAACCCAATACAACTTAAAATTTGTAGCTGAGATCTTTTCTACTGAGCCAAATTGAACCTGACTTGAACTTTCACTGGGCTGGTAATTCTGAGCTTCTGAATTTCTGGATATAGTGCCTAACTGAAGAGTCGCAGGTAGGCATGCCAGGAGGAGGCTCAAGCATACTAGTCTCTGGAGTGCCTCCGCCCCTCACAATAAAAGCAGTGTTCAAACCCCACGTTGAGATGCCTATTCACATGGCAGTGCCACATCCATACACCTGCCAAAATTATCTTACGTTAGCACCTATAACACACGGAAACGGCAACGTTCAGGGACTCATCTGAGCACCTAAAAAGCGTGGATACATGGAAACGGCTATTTTCAGTAAAATGTGGGACACAACAGGATGGGGATATGGGAAATAATAATATTTTATGGAACATTTTAATGGTTATAACTTTAATCCATTTGACATAAATATTAAAAGTATTGTAGAAGGTAAGAAATAATACCTCTGTGCCTAAAAACAGAGTTGATATGCCAAGATAACCAGAGTTGTAGAAGGTAATAATATTATGTAATAACAGACAAATGGGTGCAAGGAAAGCATGAACGAATTTGACCACAGAACCCTCAAAGACTGAAAGCTTCTGAAGCATTAGTAGTAAAGAGCTCGAAGTGTTTAATTGGTTAGATGACTAAGTTAAATTAAACCTGGTATAGAGACCTCTCTTGAGAATGCCTTCTAAAATTTCTTAAATGGGATTGATAGATAAAATCGAAAAATTAAGTAGATCTGTTTTTCACTTGCTGTTTTCCTAATGTTTTCATTTTTGAGTGAAAATAGTTCCTGAGAATTCTGAAAATAAATTCTTGTTTCCAAAAATAATTCTGTTCTCTGAAATTTCTTTCAAAAACAATCCAATAATTCTTGTTCAAGATGAGAAAAATATGCTCCATTAGGCATATCTGTAAATTATTGTATACGGAATGCTCAGGACTGCAATCCACACCGTTCACTCCATATGCCAGAAAAAACCGAGACTAACAAGCAGAAAGGAACAATCTGACTAAATTATATCTATACTGGATTATCTGCTCTATAAACGGACAGCAACCCAATCCAATCGGAACAATCAATTCATGAGGATCGACCAAATTAAAAAGTGCGCATCTCTATTACTCGTATTCCATCCAGTCCCGAACCAAACAACCAAATAAGCATACCATGATTTCATCTGCACAACACACAATGCTACAACACATCATGCATTTGTCAATGAGAAACTAGATTCGATTGAAGCAAACAAACCACTGATGCAATAGATAGGATAGTGCATGTATAAGTAAATCAACCAACGAAAGTCAAGAAGTAAAAAAAGATCTAAAACATCACAAAGAACAAAAAACCCAATGCTTAAGTTACACACAAGGATTAAAAACAAATATAAAGGAAGAATAACATGAGATAACATTACTAAGACAATACTATAATTAACACTATTATATCATAACAAATTCGAGACGCTAGACTGATTAACCCTCTCAAGTATAAGCTAAGAGTTTTTGTTATTTAGTATCTAAGGACCAAGATCATTTATCAACCGAATAGAAAAGCGAAGAGACAAAGAAAAAACTATGTCAAATAATATGGGCCTCAATACTAAAATTTACCAGTATTTTTTAAAACTTAAATTTCATTCATCTTAATTATTTGTCAATTTCTGTCATCTTACAATTCCGTGTTGTAATTTGCTTCACTCCTCTCGTTAGATTATTGTATTCCACTCTCAGTGCTCATTGAAGCAGAGAACTCTCAAGAATTTGGGGAGACTAAGGACAAATGTGTTCCAGAGCTTCAATGCAGAAATCTTGCAATGGGTAATTGTGAAGGATCCAAATTACATTCATGTCTGAGATCACTATTATGACTTCAGAGTCCTAATGAAGACACCTAGACACTGAATTAAATCAATTAAAGATGAGGATTAAAGTGGCACTCACCACATGAAGCTATTAGCTTTACTCTCATCAAGTATACTTGAGACAGATTAAACTATAATTTGAGACTACAAGGGTCTTGAGCTCATTAAGCTCGAGAGTTCGTCATTCTCGTGTCAAGCAATAAGTCAAGCCTGTGGTAGTCTCAGCATTTAAAGATTCATCATATCACGCTTGCATAATATTGCCAAAATATGTATCCGCATGGAGATAGGACAGAAACAAAGAGAAGGAAAGAGAAGAACGTAGGGCATACCGGTAGTAGGCTTGTAATACATCAACATGCGGATTTAGAAAAGTAATGTTGTTCATGGCTGAAGCCATCGCCATTCCAATCTCGCATTCACTCGGGTTGCAAAGGACCTGTTTCACAGAAACAACTATATACATATGATGAGTTATTTCTTGGGGTACAAATGCAGGGTGTTCTTTGCTGTTTAAGCTCCTTAGACCGGCCAAGAAAAATTCTGCTGAGCTGATATTTATGTAAGAAGGGAGCTGAGAAGGAAAGACAGGGTCAGGTCGACGAGAATAGTTGCCTCTGTACTCTAGAATAGCTGTGTTAGCTGGATAAACATCAGGATCACCGTTGGTAACATATTGCCTAATGGCCATATAATACTGACGAGGGGGCTGATTTGCTGTGAGTAGTAAGTTCATGGTTTGCCCTGGAGATATCACTAGAAATGATGTAGATAAGGGTTTGAGGTAGGCACCATCCATTCCAACAACTGTCACATTGTGATCAGCAATAGCGAAGAGCAATTCTGAACTTGTGGCTGCATTAATTAAGCGGATAAGGTAGGTCTTGCCATAATCAACAACCAGCCGATATTGAGTATCTGCAGCACAGAAGTTAATTATCAGAATTCAGAAACTGATACTGAAAAATAAGAAACATGATTCTTAGGAGATAATTTTAGTTTGTGAATGTCCATAATTTAGCCCCAAACAAATGGAAAGCCCAACTGGCTTCCTTTCATTTCAGGACAACAAAGGCCTAGTGGGCACTTCGTAAAGTGTGTTCAGATTTATAAAATGGTGGCAAAATCACAACATTAATGTTTTTCTAAAACATGTTACAGTGTCAAATATGTTTTGCTACTTCCTCACCATGTCTACATCCTTGTATTTTTAAAGACATTGTGTTGGCTAGGCATGTTCATGTTCTGTTAGGCACAATTTCATTTACATGTTCCTAAGCAACATACCTCTAGAGCAATTAAAGATTCCTCCTGGTTGGCCATTGAAGAGAAAGGCTTCCTCCCTCGGTAAGTCAGCACCGATCGCGAGATCATAATTCACCCTTTTGTTCACATCGTATGAATACCAAGATCCTGAAAATACAACCAAAATAAATAAATAAATAAAATAAAATTGACGTAAGCATGCATGATTTGGTATAAAGTACATAAACATGAACTTTCTGATCACATAAAAGCATTGATGGAAAAATTGGGGGAAAAATTATCAACAAAGTCAGAGAGTTCCAATATATTGTGCAGCATCAATCATATTGCTATTAAGCTTCCATTTTGGACCGATAAAACAAAAGCCTTACACTTTATAAATAAATTAGTAAAATATACTTATCTTCTTCCAGTTTTGCTTAAATGACACTTAACTCTATTTTTTTATGAAAGAAACACTTTTTCCCTGTGACTAATTATTGACTAACAATTACTTAATGATTTTATTAAAAAAATGTGAACCTAAACCTATTTCACTTACTTGAAATATCTATCTAATTAAAAATTAAAAAATTATTTATTTTATTTAAAAAATTTAAAAAATTAAAAAATAACCTTTTGATGATATAATTTTACTATTTTTAATTTTTATTTTATAATATTTTAATTTTATTTAACTTTTTAAGTCACTTAAAACAATACTCAACTATTCTTACTTTAATATTTAAAATAAAAATAAAAATATGATAAAATAAAAATTATTTAATAATTAAAAATAATAAAATTAAATTATCAAAAGTTAGATTTATTTTTAAAAAATTAAAATAAGAAATTTACAAAAATAATTAAATCAAATAATATTTTAATTTTTAATCAAAACGGAAACCAAAATATGCAAAATTAGGTTACTTTCACATATTTTTAACCAAACTATTAAACAACCTATTAGTTAACAGTTAATTAAAGGAAAAGAGTGTTCTCTCCTAATAAGAATAGAGTTAAATTTCATTTAAGTAAACTTAAAAAGATGAAAATATTTTTATCCAAAATAAATTATTTGCTTTCCAAATGGTGCTGCTGACCATGGGTTTATATTCATAAATTACATGCTCATTTATATGCTTAGCGGGCAGCCTGCCCCCATGCAAACACTGATCGATTTCTGCGTATCATTGCATCTTAAAGTATACTCTTTTCTCTTTCCTTCCAAGAAATCCCAACTACTTATTCACATTTGGCTTTTAAATTTATTGTAACTATAAGTCTAAATACCCTTTAAATTCAGGAATGAAATGCTTATTAGGATAGCATTTTTGTAAGATATATATATTAATTATCATCTTATTTCAAGGAAAACAAAAAATGACTCAGACAATACCACTGTTTATTTTGCATTTCTGTTTTCCATTATTTGTCTGTATCGATAATATAAAGGAACCTTAATCAAATACACATAGCAGCTGACTTTCACGGAATCATTTTATCAAATATTTGGTAGCCGCAACTGTATTTCTCCACATGAAAGTACTGAAAACCCAGTTCAAGAATAGAAGTATTACCCAGTACTATGATTTCTTCCTCGTCTGGTTTCGGAAATGGGTGATCAGTGCCCTTAGCCGGCATGATGACGATGGCGCCATGGACACTGTTCTGAGTCCAATCACTGTGAGCATGCCACCAGAGGGTGCCTTCCTCGGTAGAGAAGAGAACCTTGTAGGTGAAATTTGATCCTGGTTGAATAGGGCACTGAGTGATGTACTCTGGTCCATCTGACCATGGATTTCTAGGTTGTTTTACTCCATGCCTATAATTAATTCAAATGGGAGATGAGATGTAACAGGTAACAAATAGCTAGAAGACAGAACAACGCTTCCTTCGTTCCATCTTACTGAAGAAAACTAATAGAAAAAGAGGGTGATTATTATTTAATTATGGCATTCCGTAAATTATAAAGAATTAGTTTATGGAAATTGTACAATAAGATAAAAGTCATTTAATTTAAAAATTTAAAAGGTATTTAATTTTGACAAATTTAACTCTATAATTAATTCCGACACGAATATGATTAGTGAAGATCGAAACAAAACTAACATGTGAGAAAAGTTTTTATTGAACTAATATGTGACAAAATGTTTAAAAATTTGATGGGTCAAATGATACCAAACACGCCTTGAAGTTCCATTTCCTAATTTGTTTTCCTCCGCGGGAACAAATATAATTCACTAATTCAAATTCTGCCCTCATTTAATTTTTCTCAAATTTTGATCGAGTGAAAACAGTTATACCAAATTTTATATAATTGAATTAATCAAAATAAATGAACGAGATTAATTAATATTTCAGAAAAGAATATCTGTAAATTAATATATTAAAAATAGTTATAATTAATTTCATTCGTTAAATTTAACTAAATCAACAGTATAAAATTTGGTATAAGTGCTTTTCACTTACATCGGTATCAATTAATTCTTTCTTTGTATAAATTTATGTCATCAAAAGTATTATAATATCTTGCAAAAAACAAAATTACATATTTTAAAATTATAAATTAAATTATTATTTATTAATTAATTAGCATTTCTCTCACTAAATAACATTTTTGTCATCTTGAAAGAGGTTTTAACATTACTAACTCTATTTTTTATTACTAAAATATTTAAATGCTCAATTTTTTAAAAATTTAAATTGTAAATAGTAACTGATAATAGAAACAAAAATTACCCATTTTTATATATATCAAATATTCTTTGATAAGTGTAATTTCGTTTCACTTAAAATTTTTACTAATTTTTAAACAATTAATTGTGTTATGGAAAGATCTAGATATGGTGATCGTCATGCATGGGAAAACTTTTCCTCCTGTTGACGGAGAGAGAGAGACAGAGGGGTAAAAAAATTCACCAGTGCAATGTGACGCCGTAATCGCCATGGTTGTGGACATTGACAAACACGGTGTCCCCTTTGTGAACCCGGATCACCGGCCCCGGGAAACTGTCGTTCACCACCAACATGCTCTTGGTGTTACAGAGTCTTGTGTACTTCTTCTCCCGCAGCTGAAATGGTTAATGCAAGAAGAAGACGAAGAAAGAATTAAACGTAATTAATTAAATTCCCAAGGACTGGCAACCAGGTCATTTTTATTTTTATCTATTTATGAGTGGGAGGAACTTACGACGAACTCATAGTAATGGGTGTCTCCCAGTACCCAGCAGAAGAGAGTGCTGCTCAGAATCACAAGTGCCAGAAGCTCGGCCAGGAGCTGCCTCATCTTCTTTGACAGCCGACCGAGAAACTACAGAGAGCGAGAGAAATTGAATTGGTTCTTATTTTATTACTGTTCTCAGCTCAGAAGGACTTTTGGTTATCGGGTTTTCTAGCTTTCTGAAGCGTGGGTGCTTTTAAAGAACTAACCGTATTTGCACTTGCTGAGCCAAACATGGTGTTTCGTCTTCTTACCAGTTAGGAGGTTGAGTGGAGGCATATTGACTTCTTGTTGCTAGTCAGCTGGAAAGGTAGACTTGCTTCTAATTGCCTTTGCATGCTTAGGACGGGTAGCTGTCTTTTCAATTTTTTTTTTTTCTTTATTTTTCTTTTTAAAAAAAACTGGAATTTCAAATCTCTTCTTTTTAAAATGTTAACGGGATTGAGAAATTGATTTATGTTGAAATAACTGAATTAGAATAAGAAATAAATTTTAGAAACACGGGAAAAGAGTGATTTTAATTATGAGTGATATTATTGTAATTAAATAAAAATTATTTTAATTTTTTTCTAAATTTTTTCTTATATCTAAAAGAATTACCTAATAAAATTTTTCCAAGAAATTTTTTAATTTTTTTAATTTTTGTTCTCCTAAAATATGTTACAAAAATTACATTTTCAATGCTAATTTTACTGTTTTTAATAATTTTATAATATATTTTATAAATACACACAATTTCTTATTGTAATTCACTTCTATCTATTTTTATTTTGAGCTCTAAATTCTAATTGTATAAAAGCACTTGCAAACATCTTCTTCTAAGCAAAGTCTCACAGCGAAATTGCGAAAACTTAATTTAAAATTTAGTTTAAATAATACAATAGTTCTAAATTTTATTTAAAAATCAATAGTTGGACTTTTGACATTATCCCTCTTTTAAGCTTAAGCTCTCATTTACCAACCCCCCCCCCCAAAAAAAAAAAAAAAAAAACTCAAAACTGATAATTCTCAAGATTTTAATTTTAAAGAAATTGTGTATTAATCCATGAAATGGTGGTACATGCATGGTATATATATTTACACTTTTTTTTTTTGACGTTGATATCAAATTTGCTAGCTAACATTATCACGACGATAACAAGTAAAAATAAAATAATTTTTTCTTTCTTAATTTAAGTACCTATCCGAGAAGAAGCTAAGTATACCAGACAAATTCGAAAATTACAAGAAATAGATGGTCTGCACGTGCAAATTAAAAGAGGTTGACCAGAAGTTGCAAAATTTACCGAATTTACAGCGTTTAAAGATTGTTAGCTACTCTCCAAGCCACCATTCACTCACGAATGGCCATAAGAGACCCGTGTGAAGTCAATCCACTTCTTCTATACCAAATAGTTCTGTTAATATTTTAACTAACTATGTATTTAACACGAGTTAATAGTTTTCTTTTTTAAAATGTAACTAATAAATAAAAATTTTTTAAAAATCATAAATACTTGATATTTCTTTATATATGCATTTGTGAAGAAAGTTATTTAATTAAATGATAACATAGTTAGATATAATATTTATAATTTGAGAATTATTTAAATCTTAAAGAAATCTATGTATAATAATATTTAATAATTATAATTTTATTAAAATTTAGAATTTTAATTCTTAATTGTTTACATGTCTCAGCTTAATTTTTTTAAAAATTTTTTCATTTATCAACTGCATTTTAAAGAGATTGTTAATTCACGTTGGACATATAGTTAATTAGAATAATTAAACAAAATATTTTAATAATGCTATTTTCATCAATAGAGTCAAAAGGAAAAATATTATTTTAAAGTAAAATAAAATTAAGTGCGATTAAAATATATTTACCTACAAATGTAAGAAAAACTAACAGTTGCATTATATAACACATAAAACATGTGCACCTAATAGTCTAACGTGGTAGTGGCTAATGCTCGACGTGGCCAATGCATGAAACGCTCAATGCTGTGTGGTACTACATGGCGAATGAAGTTGATGTTGGGTGTTATATTTAATAAGATAACATCCATATAATCATTAGATGTATGAGTTTAGTTTTACTACACTAACATCTATACATCTAATGATTAATATAAACACGATTATTTCTGTTTACACCTCTCTACCGCCAATTTTTGCTTGGAAGCGTGGCTTAACATGAGCAACAAGCTTTCAAGAAAAAGCATAGAGCACGCCAAATTTGGTAATGGTTATTGGTTGGCTGCCATCCAGGTTTTTTTGGCTTCAGAAGTGAGGAATTGGCTTCTTAGCACCCAACAATTTATATTTAATACTTAGTTTTCAATTTTGATGGTTCTTGTCACATAAAAAGAACAAAAAAAATATATTGGCGGCTTGCCAACCTTGCGACGTTACCCGATGAAAATAAAAGGTAGAGCAAGTTTGTATTTATTTATCTATATTTTAAAATAAATTTATATGATACAATTTTTCATATATTAAATATTTGAGTTTTCAGACATGGTAGGGAGAGTCAAGATCAGGAATTAAAATTTTAATTTTAAATGAAGTTTATAAGTATTTCACTATTTAAACTAAATTTAAATTTTATATAATAAATATGAAGTAATAAATAAATATAAAATATAATCAAACAACTAAAGTGATACGTACGAGGAAGGGTCGCTTTTTAGAACATATTTGGAGTTGTAAATAGTGTAAATCCGTTAAAAAAAATATTTTAATTTAAATGATTGACGTGTTAATATAAAAAAATTGAAATCATTTATTTTAAAATGAATTTATTCCGGAATCTATAAAATGAAAAACTCAATAAAATCTCGACCTCTAATTTTTTTATTTTAATAATAATTATTATTATTATTATTGTCCTGGATTTCAGGGAAGGAGAGGTCGAGGAACTGCCACATCTAGAAGACATGTCCAACGGTCTGAAAGGTCAAAGATGGCATTGAATCACGAGTGCAGAGACTGGTGGCGGACCATCACCTAACCATCCAAGCGAACACAGGCTCCAAAGACCGGAAAGTGATTCCCCATTCCCCAAACCCCGGCTCAAAATTCAGTCCTCAAGGTTCTTTTCCGGTGAAGGGAATTAATCATCCATTAAAAATTTATTTAATGGCTAATAATTAACTACTAATCCTAACTTTTTACGGATTTGCCTGGATCTTTTGCAGAAGTGAGATCTCGAACTCATAATTCATTAAAAGATCAGGCAGAAATATATTTTATCCTCTAAATTAATATTACAGTAATACTTATTTTTCAAAGAATAAAAAATAATAATTCAATCACTCAAATTTGTATTTATATTAAAAATAAATAATATGATTAATATATTTTATTTAAATTATCAAAACATTTCTTAAACCACACTGTATGTACTGTTTATAATTTAGTAAATATTATTTATAAAATAATAACTTTTATTGTAACACAAAAAAACTTTAAAAAATTATTCCTTAATTAATATGTGAAACAACGTTGTAATATAAAAAAAAAAGAATAACAAATTTCATAAAAATAACTCCTCATCTTGTGTTATTCATTATTCATAATTTAACAAATATTATTTGTATAAAAATAAGTTTTATTAATTAATTTTAAAATATATTTTGAGTTATCCTGAAAATTAAGAACCTTTATTTTAACAAAAAAATTATAAATAACTAAAAAATTTGTCCCTCAATGGTTGATTTAAGGAAGAATATGAATAGGATTGAAAGATAGTATAGTAAATTAAGAATAATATTGAAAGAATATTATTGTAAATTAAATAAGTATATTAACATTATTAATTTTTTAAATTATAAATACAAACTTGAAAGGGTAAATCGTTGCATTTTATATTTTAAAAATAAGCATTAGCATGATAATATTTTAGGTGTCAAACTATATTTTATTCCAAAGAAATAAATAACATGTGATGCATGTGATAGCTGTGACTAAAAACAAAGAATGATTTCACTTTCAATTACCTAAATTTCAAAATTAAGGGAAGTGTAAGTGGGAGGAAAAGCCAAATGACCACGTGTAATTATGATTTAATATATGAGGTACCGTCGGTGGTTTGTGTGGCTCAACACATTGAAACTAAGATTTTGAAGAAATGAAAGGAGGAAAAATGTGCACTATTTTTTTTCCTAATTTTTGTAGTTTTAATCATACAAAAACTTTTGAGTAACTCATTGTTAGAATTTTATACTATATTTTCATATATATAATTCTAGAAGACAAAAACATAAGAATAAGTTGAAATCTGCGTAATTTAATCATAATTACAACGACTGGATAGATATAAAATTTTAAATTCAAATACCCCTTTATGTCTCTCCAACATGCACTCAGTCTCCAAAGAATGGTGGACAAGAAGTTCATGAAGGTAGGCCCACTTTCCAATCTTTGTCGGATTAGGTTTCCTTGTGTCTTGCATCCATTCTTCAAAGCAAAATTAGTACAATAAATAATTTGAAAATGTTAATCTTTTATATTTAATTTTTTTATTTTTTTTTATAAATTATAAAAATTTTTAAATTTAATACTTAAAAATTTAAATTTATTAATATTATATATATATATGATATTATTAATTTAATAAAAATATTATTAAAATTTAATTTAATATTTTAAATAAATTAAATTATTTAATTTTAGACCTAATTTATTTATTTTAAATTAAATATTTTTAATTAACTATAATTTAATAAATATTTTAATCACATCTAAATTTGAGAAGGTTAGATGCGTGCCTCATAACTTGTTAAAAGGAACACATAAACGACAAAACACGTGCTGGACGCGACTACAAAAGAGAAAGTAAGAGGCACAGAATCAATTGACTTTCAAATAACTAAGTTCCAAAATTAGTGGAAATGTAAGTGAGAGGAAAAGCCACGTGACCCAATATAATTATGATTTAATTTCTGAGATAGGTGGTTTATTTATTTATTTATTTTTACAGTGGGGGCAAAAGCCCCGAGAAAAAGAAAACTACATTGTTGAACTTTGGTGAGTAAACTTCCAAACTTAAAGGAAAGAAAATTCTCTCAATTGATTTGAGG